GAAGGAGGTAAGAAACAGCTTAATGCTACTAACCAACAGAAGATCGAAATCTCCGAACCAGAGGTAGAACACAAAAACCTAAGCTGGACCTTCTGCTACGACGACAACTGTTATATCCACCTCAGTAGCAAACAAGGAACCGGATGGTTTCCAAAAGAACCCAAGAAACCGAAGAAGACACAAAGACAAATAAACCGGATGTTGGGAATCACGACACCACCACCACGAAAACCAGGACACGAAAAGCTACGAAGGATACCAACGCCAGAACTTGAGGAAATACGCGCAGGAATTCAAGCAGCGCGACAAGCGGCACAAGAGGACCTGGACGAACAATCAATGGAAAAAAGAACTCTCGCAATGACGGGACGCAAAGAACTCCATGAACCAAAATCGCCAGAATACTTGGACGAAGACTCGCACCAAGAAATCCTCGATTGGGTGCGACAACAAGCAGAAGCAAGGAAGGTTCGAAGGGAACAACAATATAGGGAGGAGCAAGACGCACAAATCCTCACCACCTTCGATGAACCCGAGGATAGAGTAAAAGAAATGAGCGTCGATGACGACTGCGCAATCCTAGACACTCCAGAAGCGTCCGAAGACGAACAGAGCGAGGAAGAAACGCCTGCAAGGCTAACAGCGACCCAAGAGCAGGCGGTACAACGACATTTTCCCGCACCAACAGGAAAACATTTCGCAATTCCTATTATTGCGGTGGACACCACCACAATATTGAGAAACCCGACACTATGGTACCCAGAGAGGGAAGAAGGGGACGACCCCAGACTCTCACCAAGACATAAAGACCATACACGATTAGCATGGGCATCATGCATATTCATGATGTGTCAAGCACATTTTACAACCAAGGCACGACTGGATGCATTTCCAATCAGGATGAGAGGATATCCGATCAAAGCACCATACTTCCGATGGGAACTCCTAGAATGGAGAGTGAAGATAATCAATGACGATCAAACGATGATCTTGGAACCCGATTCGAACACACCCATCAAATGCCGAGCTCATACAGATCCTACGGACGTATGCGAATCAGACACATGCCAGTTACACGTATATACGAAGAACAGGCAGTGGCACCAGTATGTGTATGAGGGAAAGATCCCAACACACAGAAGAGAGTTACTACTCAAGTCACCTCGATGTGAAACAAAAGACCACATGGTATGCCCACTACCAAATTGTTCAGAACATATGGTAGATAAGGCCAGAGAATGGCACAAGTGGCAATGTGGGACACCAGCAGCATACAAACGGACACAGCGAGCATTAGACATACTCGAACAGAGAGACCCCAGGGGAACCACAGAATCAACATACCACAATGAACAACAGTTGGATAAGTGGTACAACGAACAGAAGTTCAACCCCAGATGCAACAAGAAATATGCGGTAAACTGCGACAATCCAAGATGCGAGAAGCATGGAGAAATGAAAGACCAAATTTACAATCGCCTATGTCAAATGTTTAACGATGGGTTTTGCTTTAAGCACCCACAAAACGGAACTGGACCTACGGAATGGTACCAGGAAATGAAACGACAAATCGCAGAAGAATCTATTCCGGAAGACTCAAAAAACGAGGCACGCCATCTGTAAAAGGGCTACAGGCTGGCACGAAGA